CTGATCCAGGTCAGCAGGTTCAGGTCAGCAGGTCCAGGTCAGCAGGTCGAGGTCAGCAGGTCGAGGTCAACTGATCCAGGTCAGCAGGTTCAGGTCAGCAGGTCCAGGTCAGCAGGTCGAGGTCAGCAGGTCGAGGTCAACTGATCCAGGTCAGCAGGTTCAGGTCAGCAGGTCCAGGTCAACTGATCCAAGTCAGCAGGTTGAGGTCAGCAGGTCCAGGTCAGCAGGTTCAGGTCAGCAGGTTCAGGTCAGCAGGTCGAGGTCAGCAGGTCGAGGTCAGCAGGTCCGGGTCAGCAGGCTGAGGTCAGCAGGTCCAGGTCAGCAGGTTCAGGTCAGCAGGCTGAGGTCAGCAGGTCCAGGTCAGCAGGCTGAGGTCAGCAGGTTCAGGTCAGCAGGTCCAGGTCAGCAGGTCCAGGTCAGCAGGCTGAGGTCAGCAGGTTCAGGTCAGCAGGTTCAGGTCAGCAGGTCCAGGTCAGCAGGCTGAGGTCAGCAGGTTCAGGTCAGCAGGTCCAGGTCAGCAGGCTGAGGTCAGCAGGTCCAGGCCAGCAGGTTCAGGTCAGCAGGTTCAGGTCAGCAGGTCCAGGTCAGCAGGTCCAGGTCAGCATTAGGGATCATTTTAAACCACCTGCAGCTGGATGAACATCTGTCTCTGCAGATGTTCTTCCACAGATGTCCTCAGACTGGAAGGACTTTTCTGTCTTTGTTTTCCTGAAGTTCCAGATGATTTTAGAGGAAATGATAGAAAATAAAAACTGCTTTAAAGACAGAAATAATCTGGATTAAAGATGATCAGGAGGATTAATTGATCCTCCAGAGAAACGACTCGTTGGGATGAAGAACAAGAGATCGAACACAGCAGGAATTAAATCAGCTGAAATTAAATGTTTCTGCTGCAGGTTTGATTCTTTCAGCTGTTGTTCAGCTGACTGACAGGTTTTCAGCTGTAATCCTCATGTTGGTAAATTAATGATGTTTTGTTTAATCTGCTCGTGTTTTATTCATGAACTCTCTGCAGTTCAGACAATTTGTCCGTTTCAGTGAAAGCATCAGAACCCAGAATGGAAACTGGAACAAAAAGCAGCAGGTGCACTGTAAACAATCAGACATCAGCCGAACATCAGCCGAACATCATCTGAACATCATCTGAACATAAACCTAACATCAGCCGAACATCAGCCAAATATCAGCAAAACATCAGCTGAACATAAACCTAACATCAGCCGAACATCATCTGAACATTAGCTGAACATCAGCCAAACATCAGCCGAACATCAGCTGAACATCAGCCAAACATCAGCCGAACATCAGCTGAACATCATCTGAACATAAACCTAACATCAGCCAAACATCAGCCAAACTGTAAAAATGTTTCTAAAGGCAGAAAGCTTCAGATTTTGTCTGCAGGAATCTGATTGGAAGGATCTGAAACCCAAGGAGGAACCAGACCGGACCAGACCGTGAACTCACTCTGGGGGTTTTATCTAACGCTGCAGGAGGGCTGAGATGCATTCAGGGTCTCAGGGGAGGGTTGTAATTTACATTAGCTCAATAAAGCTTAGAGTGGGTTGAACTGAGAGGAAACAAAAAGAAGCTTTTTAACTTCCACAAAAAAATTATAATAATAATAAAATGATGCAGAAAATCTGAACAAATGTCCAAAAATAAAGAAAATACAAATTATTTTATTTTAAATAAATAAAGGTTTTAAATGATGTCATCATGAGGACCACATTCAGCCGCTCTTATTACACACACACACACACACACACACACACACACACA